AAATGTGGAAGGTGTTAAAAAGGACATCGACATGTTTTTTGCTGCAAAACCAAGTGATTTCTTTAATCAGGGCATTAACAACCTGATTGTAAGATGGAAAAAGCATCATTGATAAGAATGGAGACTATTTTATTAAATAAATGTTTTGTTTTGATATATAAATTGTTCGGGTTTTTTCATCTAAAAAAAGCGACATTAATTTCTTGACGACCTAATAGTATGGTTAACATATTATAACACATTTGGTTTGCTTTAACTCTTTAAGTCCTTAGTAATACCCGTTTCTCTATCAAACTTCCACTGATTCTCTTAATATACCTTTTTCTTGAGAAACTAGTCTGATAAAATAATACCTTTTCTTAAGTAACTTTACCAATTCAGATAAGTTATACTCGTTTTGAGCACTAATTCATATAATACATTTTTCTAGATAAACTGACACTGATTCAACTAATACTTTTTCTTGAGTAGTTGACGCTGACCGCCTTTTATTTAGTACTACTTAGGGCTTTGTACACGTCTCATTGCCCGATTCTGATATTAATAATTTCAATAATTTGAATTCTATTTGTGCACAAACGAAACGATCCTCTTGAAGAAGGAGACTCCGTGTGTTCTTCTTCGTATAATCAAATTATCAAACCAATCCTAATTCTACTGTTGACAATCTAAGTGTAATTATTTGCCATCAGTATTCTTGAATTATATTTATTATACATTGATTTTGACAGAAATCTCATTGTAGCTTCCTCCAACTCACACTAGATGGCTCTGTGTATACAACGATGATTATAAAAGTAGTATTTTATATTTATTTAGTTTTCTCATTAAATCATTATGCATAAAACAAACATACTTCTTACTCTTCTCCAGAATTTGAAATAGCAGATATTTTGCTTTACCCTAAACATTATGCATTTCTGGAACCGGTCTGCAAAATACCATTCACCAACTTTGCCTAGTTTTGATTCTAGAACCACGTGAAGATTTCCAGAAACATTTTGAGTATCCCCAGTTTTTGTTCATCAATATAAAAAAGTGGTGGAAGATTTCTTTTTCTTAATGGCATAAATATGAAGAAGAAAGTCCTGTGTGTACAGTTTTGTAAAATTTGAATGTCAAAAACGCAAAATGAGCTTGAAATAGCTTTCAAAATAGCCTGTATTTCGCTATTATTCGTCGCTAAGGGAAGCAACTCTAAAAAGTAAGTATATTAAGAGCAGTAGTGGACTAAGCGCTTGCAACGCGAGCACCTAACGACCACAACCAACGGATCCTAACTTTATCTGTCACAAATATTACAATATATACAAATCCTAGCGTTAGCGATATAAAATAATGAATTCAATCTGCTTCTACTTATCTGAGGCAATTACCTACTTCTTTTTAGTTCTAAATATATTGTTATTCTTGAAAGCATGCCACATCAGCAATGGATAAGAAATAACATCGATTAATATAAATTAAATATACCTTCCTTTCATTCACCCGATCACTTGCGTTTCCAGAGCTCATTTCCCATAGCTCATCTCAGCCACTGCTGCTTCCGGCTCTTTCTCACACGTTGTCATCCTTAAAAGTAACACACTTTCCAATCTCATGTGATCTACTTGACAGTCTGTGTAATATTAGCAATATCCTGATCTGCATATTACTTCCCTGTACGAGTTGTTTTTCTTTAATCAAAGGTCTAGTTAAACAATAATGATTATAACGCAAGTATTTCAGATTGATGTAACACATAAAAATAATTAGGAGTCAAAACTGAATGTCGTTTCATAGAACATGAATAAAATGTTGCAATGTGAGTAATATCAAGTTGCTTTACTTTGCTGTATTCATGAGACACCATCTACCGTTTGAGGTAAAGCAGAATTTTGACCTTTGTTTTTCGTTCGAACGTTTATGAATAGACACAAAGTTATATCTTGTGACATACTACTTAGTAGCAACAGAGACAGCTGCTTTTGTGTGCAGGTTAATTATTTAATAAATTTAAAAGAAAGAAGAAAATGTTTTACTAAGAAAGCTGGTTAAATGTATGGCTAAAATATCAAGTTGGTTATTGTTGAAAGTGATGGTAGATGAATTAGAACGCTAAAAGAAAACGTGGATTATGATGAAAAGTCGTAAAGTTCTTTGTGATTTTGAAAAAAAAATCGTACTTTCAGTCGTGGACACGTTATGAAACTGACAATTAACTACGTTATTCGGTTCAGAGTATCAGACAAAACTCTTGTGGCGGCGCGCGTTGCTACCTGGCTGCCTTACCTCTTATCAGAAGTCCAATCTAAGGACCTCTATACCTAAATCCTATGGGGTCTCTGGCCTGGTCTTTTTTGCCCTCCTGCGCATAAAGTGTCGTTCAGATTGATAGATCCAATTCCATTCTTCATTTATCTGTTTGTCTGTCTTTTTTTTATCTACCCCTTTACTTTTTCACCTACCCATTTGATCAGTTATTTGTGTACATTTCATCTATCACAGAAAGAGAATCTAGAAACATTGATACGTTTATTATACCTTTCTCCACCGTCACAGTTATTATTCCATTATTGTTTAAAAAGTAATCATTAGAAATTTGGTTATGAGATGTAGTTTGTGAATTTGTAATTGTTTCACATTTTTCGGAAGGGGATAGGGGGTGTAATTGTCGCTCATCTTCCCTACTCCAAGTTGTTATGAAGAAACTAAAGCCATGCGTACCGAGAACGTAAGGATTCGAGCGAGGAACTGTCTTATACAGTATGCTTCTTCAGGGGAAGGAAATGTGCATTCGTTACCAGAACATGGAGATCCGAAAATTATTAGCTTCACATTGCCAAGAGCACGGTGGAGATTAAGAACATTTACTACTTAAACCTAAAATTAAAGAACATTGAAGAGTACAGAAGCTTTCTTCTTATTTCGTTATTAGAACCAGTTTAGATAGATACATACAGAAAGAGAAAGAAACAGACAGACAAATAGTTAATGTTATTCTACGTGTATTGTCTGAACTATCCCATTATGTTTAAAAGCAGTGCGCAAAACAATAACCAAACAATAAAGCATCGATAAATTTGATCTTCGATATAGTAGTTCGAAAGTTATGAATCAGTTGTCAGGTCGGTGAGCAAAGCAACAATCAAAGAATAAAGCACCAATAAAGTTGATCTTTGATCTAGCAGATTGAAAGCTATAAATCAGTTGTCAGGTCGGTGAGCAAAGCAACAATCAAAGAAAAATTGAATTTGGTCTTTGATGTAGTAGGGTTGAGAGTTATAAATCGGTGAGCAAAGCAACAATCAAAGAAAAAAGTTGATCTTTGATCTAGCAGATTGAAAGCTATAAATCAACTGTTAGGTCAGTGAGTAAAAAAACAATCAAATGATAAATAACGTTGATCTTTGATCTAGCAGATTGAAAGCTATAAATCAACTGTTAGGTCAGTGAGTAAAAAACAATCAAATGATAAATAACGTTGATCTTTGATCTAGCAGATTGAAAGCTATAAACCAACTGTTAGGTCGGTTAGCAAAAAACAATCAAATGATAAATAAAGTTGATCTTTGATCTAGCAAATTGAAAGTTATAAACCAACTGTTAGGTCGGTGAGCAAAACAACAATCAAAGAATTAATAAACGTCAATAAACTTAGTCTTAATCTAGCAGGTTTAAAGTTATATATCAATTGTTAGGTCCCGCAGGAACTTATTCTAACTTAGCAATGCCTTTATGTTTCTAAATTTGTTCGAAAAGTGTCGAGCTTATGTACAGAAGAAAAGAAAAGGTGCGGAGAATACACCCAAGCAAGATGGAATATTATTATATGTTTTTGACCCACCATCCAAGCAGTAACGAAATCTCCTAGCCAAGTACCACACGCCGCAGCTTTCATGAAATTCACGTTCGTGATCCCCATCATTCCCGTGATCGTGTATGGTTCGGGATTAGGATAGCTCGAGATTAGGAAGGCGTTGTAAACCAGAGAGAAGATGTAAACAAAGATGATGACAGTCAGAAACATGATCATCCACGACCCCTGTTCCTCCCGGAACATTTTCAGTCTAAAGATATTTCCTGTGATAAAAGCAAGTAAGCAAGCAATTCAAATGTTTTCCTTCAGTTTAATAAACAATTATAAAAGTTTTATTGCAATTAATTTTTCTCCGAAATTTGACTGTACATTATATCCAGTTTCCCTAACTTATAGACCTGTAACCATGTTCGTAAGAAGTTTACAGTTCTTTGTTCCTTAATATGGTGCTACCATAAAATTGTAAGCGAAATTGAAGTTTTCCAGGTTCATATAATGTTGTTGTTGTTGTGTGTTTTTCTTTACACTTCATATCAATGATTATCAAAAGACAAATGCTACCCCTCCCATCAGCAGCTCAGCGGTAAGTTTACGGACTCACATCGCAAACATCCGGGGATCGATTCTCCGTGGTGGACACAGCAGATAGCCCAATGTGGCTTTACTCTCAAGCACACACACACACACACACGAGTTAAGTATTAGGGAATAATTTCAAAATTACTTTTCTTATACGAGGTTAATAATAAGTTAGCAAACAACGATTTATAGGTATAACGAAGTGATTTATTTCTGCGGGAATATACTACATGTCGAAACATATAATATGTTCCGGCAAAAATAAATCACTTCATTACACTTACTAATCGTTGTTTGTCAACCTATCATCATGTTAACATGCTTCCTTACTCAAGTAACTTATGGACGATTTTTGGAATATTGTTTGTTTACTTGTTTTCGGAATAAAAATATCAATAAAATTTCTATAAGGAATATAGCTCTCTTCGAATATATATAAAACTGTAAAAGTCATACGATTGACCAAATTAACATCCTATATAAGACAAAAAATGCCCGTTTTAGGACGAACTGAATAGTTATGAAAAGCAAGCAGAAGTTCCAATACGATAAATATTTGTTAAAATAGTTATTACAAAAAATTGTGCTTTTAAATTCATTTTGAAAGTTGTTTCGACATTTTTTATTCCAAAAAGCATGTATTAGGGAACTAAAGTTTAAATCATTCCTTACAATAATATATACTCAACCCTTTATTATTATTTGAGCCAAAAAAAAAAACACTTGAATATCAAAAAACAAGAAACAAACAAAAAACGCTAAAATGTACATCTCTTTCCGATCTCTGCTATACAAAGTACTCGCAAGCTCTATACTGTAAAGATTCTCAGTCTGTGGTCTAAGAACCACTAGTGGTTCGTTGTTCTTTGTTCACGTGGTCCCAGCCTAATGGTTAGGGCGCTAGTCTCGGAATCTGCGAGACGAGGGTTCGAATCCCTATCACACCGAACATGCTCGCCCTTTCATCCGTGGGGAAGTTATAATATGACGTTCAATCCCACTATTCGTTTGGTAAAAGAGTAGCCCAAGAGACAGCAATAGATGGTGTTGACTAGTTGTCGTCCGTCTAATCTATCATTCCAGATAGCCCTCGTGTAGCTTTGCGCGAAATTCAAAAGAAACAAACAAACAAACAATTCAGGTGGTCCGTGGAAAGGTTGCATAAATAATTACGAAAAGGAAGCAGTAGTATGGTGTATAGATCCTTTTGTGGTCCACCGAGAAAAATAAAAAAATGTCTATGAACCTGTGCTCTATAGTAATGATTGGTGTAAATAAGAAATGTGTCACGAAATGCCATTGTAAAACTAAACGAAAGTGTACGTTTCCAATAGAATGGAAGATGACATCGAGATTAGTCTACCAGTTATTAATCTCGTAAACATGGCGTTAGTGCTGACGTATGAAACCTTTATGTCATGTTGAATCTTGAAACACACTCAACTAATATTAGACGAACTACACTATTGTGTTAATTCAGTTTGGTTGAAATCAACATATGCGCAATTCCCGTTTATTACCCGCTTTCGCGAAGACTAAATTGTTCATTCGTGTAATGCGTGGTTCTTAATGTTGGAAAATGGCATTGATTTCACATTTCCTTATTCTTTTATGCGAGTTTCAAGCCACCTAGTAGTGGATCCAATTCAACCTAAAGAACATTTAATGCTTTTATGATCACATACATCATTTGAAGTTTTGAATATATATATATATATATATTCCATTTTTAAACCTGAAAAACTGTTGCAAACTACGTTCAAGTTTGAAGATAACCTTAATTCAACTTGTTTATGAGCTTGACGAGGCAACTTAGTGGTTGATTTATAACTAAAATTGTTTTGTTTTTTTACCTGTAGGTGGTAACACTGGAAAAAGTTTCTGTCTTGTAATATCTGGCTGCTAGGAACGTTCATACCCTTCAAACAAATAATGTACTTTATAATACCTATTGAAAATGAGTTTTTAGTTTAGAGCTGTTTGATATTTGTAACGTTTTATATAATGAAGTGTGTGTACTGGTTATTTTGTACGCTCAATGGGTTAGTATCTGAACGAAGTTCTTCTTCAAACCCTAAAACGAAAAATAATCAGCGAAGACAGCAAAAGATCGATAAAAGTTCGTAATGATCTGTCCCATCACTTTTTATACTTTGGGTGTTTTTATTCTTCTTCTTGAAACTGGATAAAACAGCCCCATGGTTATCATGGGGAAAGTATTACTTTTAACTCGTGTTAAGAACTATTAATTATCCCGACCTCTTAACTTCCAATAGGATGCGAATTCTTAAAATAGTAAAACAAAAATTTCAGTTCCAAATTCAAATTGTACCCCTTCATAATTGCAATTTTTTTTATTGTCTCAGTAGAAGTACTGTTCAAGTTGTCAGAGCTCTAACATATTTGAAAAACACTTTGCCTTTTAGTTATTCCCTTAATCACGACGGTCTAAATACACCTTTGTTTGTTATACGTGAACAGCAGCAAAATGGGATATTTTGCATTATGCCCACCGCGATGATCAAATCTCGAGTATTAGCATTGTAAGCCCCTAAGCGTACCACTGAGCAACTGGAGGAGGGGCGAGAGTCTGAGATCCATACTTATATATTAGATTAATTGTTCGAAACAATTAGTTTTTCAAATATAGTTCTAATTACATTAATTTTAACACTAACGATGTCATATATTAAATTTAAAGCATGTCTAGAACATACAAAAACATATCAAACAATTTAAAACAAGAACCACCAATACTTACGTAACAGACAGTGGTGGATAAGATGCTTTCCAAATTCAAGGCCGATAAAAATGGCAAATAACCATAATACTACTTTCACTAGACACCAGGTCCACTCGGGAGGGTATTTTGTTGCAACGAAAGAGAAAACATTTCCCACTACAGGGATCTCGCTTTCCGTGTGACTGTGCGAGACTGGATCTTCGGCAAAGATGAGAAAGTTACAAAATATAATGAAATAAGAAACAAAGAGACGGGCATAGGGGTGCTGAAAATAATACCTGAAAGTAAAGATAAAATATAACATTTAAATTATTAAACCGAACAATATAAATAGAAAAAGTCAACTTTACTAACCCTAAAGTTTAATTGTTTTGTTTGTTTTTTAAAACTCTAAACACTTTAAGGGTTAAAGGTAACTTTCTGAATAATGATTCAATATCTAAGCTAGCACAATAAACGTTATTTCCAGAATTTAAATTTGTATTTCTTTTCGATT